AGAGAGAGAGAAAGAGAGAGAGAGAGAGAGAGGACGCGTAGCGTAGGTCTCGTCGTGTAGCGTAGGTCGCGTCGCCTAGGTAGGTCGCATCCCGTAGGTAGGTCGTGTAGCGTAGCATAAGTTGCGTAGGTCGCGTAGCGTAGCGTAGGTTGCGTAGGTAGGTCGCGTCGCGTAGGTAGGTCTCGTAACGTAGCATAGGTTGTGTTGGTAGGTCGCGTCGGGTAGGGCCGTACTTTTCCCGCCCACCCGCCAACGGTCCTTTCATTTCCCCAAGGGAACGCAGCGATCCGGGCCGTAAACGGCCCGACGACCCATTTTCGCCTGCGATCTTAAAACTTTAAGATCGCAGGGCGATCTGGGCCGTCCGGCAGGTGCAACCGCGAACGGCCTGGATCGCCGCGCGATCTTAGTCTTAAAGTACTAAGATCGCGCGAAAATTCGGGCCGTCTACCGGTAGGCCGCAGGCGGCCCGGATCGGCCAAACGCTGCGCGCCGAACAGCAATTTCTATAAGTGTAGGGAAATCTTTTTCAAAATAGTTTTCTAACAATCTGCAATCAGCCCCTTCGAAATTTCTTTTGAAATACGTTGAAACTAAGTACTTAATACTTCGAAAGCCCATTATTTACGAATTTCTTTTTCACAATTTCTTTAAATAATTCATCTCTTTTTGGAAAACTTTTTATTTCTTACCAAATTTCTTTGGAACTCCTTTTTGCAATTCGATTACATTTTTATTAATCCTTTTTCGAAAATTTAAATTTTCTTTTTTTCATTGTGCGAGGCCATTGCCTCTAGCGCCATTTGGCTGAGTGAACCCAGGCCCTGGGCCGCCTATGTGAATGAATGTGAAGAAGGCCCTGGGCTTGATACGGGTATCGGGCCAAACAAAGGCTGAAGGCAGTTGGGCACATGCAACCACTACAGGCCCAAGGGCCTGCTCTCGTCGTGCTGGGCCTCAGGCTCCGGGGCCTACTGGAAGCTACCTGGGACTGGATGCAGGCAGGCCACTTCGATATAGGGAAGGGCCTGCCTCCTCATTCGGCATTCGGGTGCTGGCTGCATGCTGCGCAAGCGCTGCTGCGCTATTTGCTGGCTGGCGCCTACGCTCTCACGGGCGAGCAGGGAAGGAGCACGCAGCCATAGCCGAGCTGCGCTGCTGTATGTTGGGTGAAGCGCAGGGTGGTCCTTGGGTGCTAGGGGCATCTGTGAGTTGGGGAACGAGGTTGTGAGTGTAGTGCAAGACATACCTGGTGCTGGAAGCGTGCGACATTGGTCGCCATATGCTCGTACTTTGGGAATGTTGTTGATGTCATCTTTCGGCTTCATAGTATAGGCTAGATAGGATCTGCCACATGTAGTCTGGGCGCCGAGCGCCACATAGGATATCAACTCTGGTTCTTCGTTGATGATGATGGGACTATTTCAGCATTGTCAATTATGAACTCTTGGTGTGTTCTTATTTGGTGATTCTCGTGATGCAATGCTGCTGTTGGTTCAAGGTCAAGACTATCTGGACTTATATGTATGATGCTGTTTGATTGTTGAAGTTCGCTATTGCTCATCTTCCTTGCAATTGCTTCAACTATTTTTGAATAAATTCTCAAAATTAATTCGAAAATAATCACCCTTTTCTGCAATTTCAAAATTTCTTCTGAAATATTTATTATTGAACCTTGAAAATAATTAATTTTTACAAAATTATTTTGCAATTTCGTTGAAATATCTGAAATTAATCAATCGAAATTTCCTTTTCCTCTTTGAAATTCCTTGAATACTCTAGCATTAATCTCTTTTATATATACTCCTACCTCCTTCCGAAATTTTCTTGAAATTCCTTTAATTATTTAGTCCATTTCTGAAATTAAAATTTATTTGAATTAATTCCTAGGCTACCAAAGTGGCCCGGGGTCACTTGCCCGGCCGAAAAGATTAAAAATATATAATATTTAAAAAACTTATTTTATATTTTAAATTTGGTACAAAATTTCGATGTGAGCCTGAGGCAAAAGTTGTTTAGTTTATTTTTCTACATAACATAGTACTTTTTTCAGATTTTTTGGATTTCTTTTTTTTTTGCTGGGACCTTCCCATGTCCTTGCACGGGCCTGTAACCCGGGGCCCGGGCGTGCCCGCTGGTAGCCTAGATTAATTCCTATTTCGAACTTCTTTTCAAATGATTTCTTCCAAAATTGCAACGAAAACTTTTTTTTTTTGTAATTCGAAAATATTTTCTTTCAAAATTTCACATTTTCTTATAAATAAATTTAAATCTAAATCAAAATCCATTTTTTTGAAATTAATTACCTGTTCAAGCGTTTATTTTTGAAAATTTTGTTGAGCAAATTTCTCCTCTACTAAAATTTTGTTCTACCCATATTTTGAATTAATTTCGAATAAATAAAATTCCAAGTCGGAATAAATTTATTTACTCAAAATTAATTCCCACTTTCCCTTCCCCCCCAACCTTATTCCCTTCGAAATCTCGGCAATTATCCTTATTTTGAATTTATTGATAAAGAAATTGTGTCCCCCATCTCCACATGCCACCACGCCAAACCAAGAACTCCCAACGTCCCGCCGCCGACGCCGCTGCTGCGGCCGCCTCCACTGCTGCTGCTGCATCCTCCACATCTGTTTCGGCCGCGTCCTCCACCCCCTCTTCCCCCAACATGGCTCAATCATCCATCAACATGTCTAATCTTCGCTCCGACTACGTCGACATCATTGCCCGTGAACTCGCAAGCAATCCGCCAACTTCGACCACCGCCACCGCGGAACTTGCAACTTTCTTCCGAACGTTGACCGCCCTCCAATCCTCCCTTGACACCATCAACACCACCATGGCCGCCATCTCCGACCGTGTCACCACGCTCGAGGGAAACACCCCCGCCATCACGGTCGTCACCACGACCACACCCTCCTCCTCCACACCCCAAACCACCCCCTCCTCCGAACAAGCCTCCGCTTCAACCTCCACATCAACATCACCGCCATCCTCATCCACCACTACCTCCATCATGGCCACTCCACCTCCCCTCTCGCCAAGGCGAAAACCCCTGTCGTCACATAGTCATCAACCATCCCCCCCCAATCAAAACCCCTCTTATCCACCTCCACTATCACCTCAATTATCCCCAGCTACACTCAGATTATCCCACAAGCCATGTATCCCGCTCCTCCACTACTTCCCCCAAATGCACTCATCCCCACCAACCCCGCCAATGATTTCACACTGGTCGACTCCCCGACCCCCACCCTCGACTTCAATGCCCTTGCCGTCATTACAAACAGAGAAGGCAAAATCCCCCCATCATTCCGCGCCAACGAGATCCCCACCTTCTCGGGCCAACCCCATGAGGACGTTCTCCTCTTCCTCACCAAACTCCAACAAGCCTTCTCCCTCCACGCCATCCCTCTCATCAACTGGCTCCCCATCGCTGGCAGCCGACTCCAAGACAACGTGGCTCGCTGGTGGTACACCGAAATGTCTAATCGCCACCACTCCGGTCTCCAGCCTCACACCTTCCTTGAGTGGGCCACCCTCATCACCTCCACCTTCCGCCCATAGAAAACGGTCGACGACTATATCGACCAATTTCGTCGGCTCCAACAAAACGGCCCAACCAACCTTTTTGTGCAATACATCCGCTCACTTCGTCAACATATCCCCGTTGATATCGTCAACGATTTCGCCTTCATATCCTGCGTTAAGCGCGTATGCCGCAAAGACCTAGCGGCCGCCCTTGTCCACGAGCGCCCCATGACCCTCGCCGACCTCCTCACTCTCCAACTCGATCGCATCCTCTCCCCCTACAAGACTGCGCTTACATCGGCCCCTCCCCGCCCTCGCTTCTTCCACAACATCACCTCCAAAGATACAACCTCCACCACCTCCTCGGACGAGTTCACTACACCGGACCCCGACGCATCTTCCGATTCACTTGACTCTTCATCCCTCTTCCGAGGAACTCAATGTCGTCCAATTCATGAGGATGGAGCGTAGAGATGGCAGCTCTCAACCACCCTCATCTACCCCACCCTCCCGCCTCAAGAAACTCACCCCCGAGGAGCGCACCTACCTCCAAGCAAAAGGGGTTGCTTCTGTTGTCGCCAGTTGGGGAACCAACAAACCAACTGCCCCAACGCCGCAAAATTCACCCGCAAGTCCACCTCCACTCGACCCGCAACCTCAGCATCACCACCCTCGGCAAGCGCGGGTCCCTCCTCATCATGAACACAGTCCCCAAGACATCGACCCGGCATCGACACAGCGTCTGTCGGCCCACCCATCGGTGACGTCCTCCGTCCCACTGATGGCTCATTTTGCATCGACCATTCGTCTGCCAACCCCTCCTCTGGTGACGCACATCCCACCGAACGATCTCTAGGCGTCGTAGTCTACTCTGCATGCCCCCCTCCCGACGATGTCCCCTACTCCGTCGGATGAACCCTCCACTGCCACGTGTTCTTCCACCCTCCTCCCTAACCCATCCGCCACCACTTTCTTAGATCTTGTTGAGGAACGAGCCCGACACGATCGGCTCATTAGGTTAGGCCTCGAGCAACGCCGCCTCAGCACTCTGATCTCCTGTGCTTGCGCCGGATACAGTTCCAGCTCAAGTTCATTCCCGTTTCCCTCGGTGCATCGACGGTGAACTTTCGGGCCCTCCTTTATATTGGCGCCACCGGCAACTTTGTCACCAACGCCTGTGTCCACAAAGTCGGCTTATCTTCCACCGGCTATGACTCCCCGATCACTATCTGCCTAGGGGATAAGGACTCAGCCATCGTCGTCGATCGCACAGTCCCTGAGACCACCATGACTGTCGGCCCCGTTCGCAAGCAGGTCTCCTTTGATGTCATTCACCTTATGTGTGACATCGTCCTAGGGACACCGTGGCTTGACCGCTACAGGCCCTACTCATTCCACGCCTCCTTCGTCCGCCTCACCAACCCTCCCGACTCTCCCGTTGACATCCCCTACCTTCTTCCCTCTTCCACCCCACCCCCCGTCTCCCCACATCAATTCCTCCACAACACCCTGACTCGGCTTACTATTGCCTTGTCATTGAACGCGAGCGTCCCGAGGACTTGCTTCCAACGGACCAAGATCCTCCTTCTAATCACCACATCGCCGCCCTCCTCTCCGAATTCAAAGATGTCTTCCCTGAGTCCTTGCCCGCCGGTCTACCTCCCAATCGCAGTGTATCCCACACCATTGATCTCGAGCCCGGCCACTCTCCTCCTTGTCGCCCCTTGTACCAGCTATCCGTCCCCGAGGCCGACGAGATGAAGCAACAACTTAATGAACTCCTTGAGAGAGGATTCATTAAGCCTAGCTCCTCCCCTTTCGGAACCAGTTGTCTCTTCGTTAAGAAGAACGGCACCTCGGAACTCCGCATGTGCACACACTACCGTGCCCTGAACCGGATCACGATCAAGAACAAGTACCCACTCCCTCGCATATCCGAGCTTTTTTATCGCCTCCGTGGAGCCAAGCATTTCACCAAGATTGATCTCCGCAGTGGCTTCCACCAGATCCGCATCCACGAGGAGGACACACACAAGACCGCCAAGTAAAGTTTACTTACAGTATCAACGAGGTGATCGCATCGGGCACTACGAGTTCCTCGTGATGCCCTTCGGACTCACCAATGCCCGCGCCACATCCCAATCTAGCACGAATCACATCTTTCGCGACCTCCTCGAAATCTGTGTCGTGATCTACCTTGATGATATCCTCGTCTTTAGCCCGACCTTCGAATCCCACCTCGAACACCTTCGCAAAGTTCTCTCCATCCTGCGAGAACAAAAGTTCTACGCCAAGCTCATCAAGTGCACATCTGCTGCCCCTAGCGTAGAATACCTTGGTCACATTGTCTCGGCCGACGACATCCGCATGGACCCCAAAAAGGTCTCTGCCCTCGTCGAGTTCCCACCTCCCTCCACCTTGACCCAGCTTCGCCCATTCATTGGACTCGCCAACTATTACCGCCCCTTCATTCAAAACTTCTTCGACGTCTCCTACCCTCTCCATGAGCTCACCTGCGCCACCGAGTCCTTCACATGGACTGAACGCCGCCAAGCCGCTTTCGACAAACTCAAGCAACTCCTCACCACCGCCCCTGTCCTCAAGATCGTTGACCCCACTCGCCATTTCTTCGTCACCACCGATGCCTCAGACTTCGCCATTGGGGTTGTCAGCATTTCCCTCCTGACCCCACCGAGATCCCCTCTGTCAAAAATTCCCCTACTCACTCAAAGTCCCCACCCGGCGAACAATCCATTGCCTTCGCTAGCAAGAAACTCCTTCCCTCGGAGATGAATTACCCTTCCAACGAGAAGGAACTCCTAGCCATGGTCGACGCCCTCAAAGTCTGGCGCTCGTACCTCGACGGGCAATACTTCACCATCCGCACTGACAACACGGTCGTCTCCTCCATCCTTACCAAGAAAGACATCACCCCCCGCCAAGCCTGATGGTTAGACTTCCTTGCCCGGTTCGCCTTCACCATCTGCCACACCCCCGGCAAAAGCAACCGCGTTGTTGATGCCCTCTCCCGCCGCCCCAACCACAAGCCCCCTGAGAAAGTCTACGCCGCCATGACCCACATTCAACTTCTTCCCTCGTTACATCGCCGCTACACCCAAGGTTACCTCTCTTGCCCAGACTTCAGTTCCATTTACTAACAACTCCGCAACCTTGACTCAGTCCCCGACTACTCTCTCCATGACAATCTAGTCTACATTGACACCAAGGGCACTCGCCAACTCTGCATCCCTGACGCACGTGGTCTTCGTACTAGTTCTTGGCCGAGCACCACGACACCAGGACCGCTGGCCACCTCGGTTTCCAGAAAACCTTCGACACCATCTTCCCTGCTTCCATTGGCCTTCTCTACTCGCCGACGTCAAAGCATACATCCACTCGTGCCCCACTTGTCAGGCCGTTAATCCCTCGAACCGGGCCAAGCCCGACAAGCTCCAATCATTGCCCATCCCTACCCACCAATGGGCAGTCCATCTCCATGGACTTCGCGTGCCGCCTCCCCAAGACCGACCGTGGGCATGATTGCATCTACGTCATTGTTTGTCGTCTGACCAAACGCGCCCACTTTTTTCATTCCTTGTACCACCTCGCACAATGCCAAAGACATCGCCATACTCTTCTTCGATCATGTCACTCACCACCACGGTCTCCCCGAGAACATCATCGTTGACTGCCATCCCCGCTTCCTATCACAGTTCTGGAAACACCTCTTCCAAGCCTACGGAACCACGCTCAAGTATAGCACTGCATTCCACCCCTCGACCAATGGCCAGACAGAGAAGATGAACGATACTCTCCAAAGAATTTTGCTGAAGTATTGTCATCCACACCAACATGACTAGGATCAATTGCTCACATCCGCCGAGATTGCCTACGACAACGCTGTCTGCCCCTCCACTGGCATGTCCCCTTTCTACCTCAACCTTGGCTACCATCCCCGCTTGCCCTCTGATTTCTTGCTTCCCTCGCAGCTCAGCCCCTCCGCCCCTTGCCCCTCTCTCAATGAATGGGTAGCAACAATGAACAGACTCCTCAGAGAAGCAACCGAAGCCCTTGAAAGAACATAAGAACAACAAGCAAACAAGACTAACAAACACAGACGTGACGTGTCATTCAAAGTAGGGGACAAAGTCTGGCTTTCTGCCAAACGCTTTGAATCCGAACAAGGCTTGTCCAAGAAACTCTCAAACAAGTGGCTCGGTCCCTTCCCCATCATTGAACAAACCTCTCCCGTGAATTACAAACTTCAGCTTCCACCTGACATGCGTCGCGTCCACCCAGTCTTCCACGTAGAATACCTCAAGGAATACCATGAATCCCCGTCCCAGTTCGCTGACCGCCCTTATCCTAGACCTCCACCAATCATGCTTCCAACATGCCAAGAATTCATAGTCGAATCAATCATATGACGAAGAACAACTCAAGTATCAGATCACCCTGAACCAATCACCGAATACAAAGTAAAATGGACCGGATACCCTGATGAAGAATCAACATGGGAACCCCTTGATAATCTCAAGAATGCCATGAAACTTGTTCGTGCCTATGATCATGCCTACCCTGTATCCTAACTATACCCCGGCATAAACCCTAAGCCCTTGCTTAAAACCCTGCTGCAACCTCGCAACCCTGCTCTACACACACGCTTGAACCCAACCCACCCTCCCCTCGACCCTGATTCCTGATGTCTGATCTGCCCTTGCCCTCGCCTAGCCTTGTCCCMTCTKTCCTCTCCACTACCTTGTCTCTCTTGTCCAATGCTTGTGGACCTGCGTGACGCCGGCGATAAAGGATCTAATGGCAAACGCACGAGGACAACGGTCGGCTGCCTCACTAATCATGGAGATTATGCAGCTGGTTTGGCCACCATGCTTTTCATCGGCCGACATCCCAACTCGCACACTTACGGGAGCAGCAACTTGTGACATGGATCTTTGCATCAGTCTGCGACTTCCTTGCTTCCATATCAGACCTCGTTGCAGTTCGTATACCAGACGCACCCTAGCACTTGGACTCTGGACATTTGAACTACTGTTATGCTTCTTGGACTTCTACCTGTCGCAGCCGCTGAGGACCGCTTCTACCACCTACTCCAAGACCTGATCAAGACCACTGCAGATCCCCCTTCAAGACACTTGAACACTTTGTTCCTACATGAGATTTTGCTTCCCACTCCTTCGGATATACCAGCGCTTGCATCCTGAACAAACACTTTCATTTTTCCTGACAACCCTGTAGAACATCATTAGAAAATCCCTTTCCCCTAACCATTGTTTCCCTCACTAAAACATGAATAGAAATTCCTTGTTTCCCTGACCATTGTTCCCCTTACCCACTAGAACATCAATAGAAATTCCCTGTTTTCCTGGACATTGTTTCCCCTTACCCAGTAGCTGCGTTGCCACTTGTACGCACCCTCGTACAAGTACGGATTCGTACTCTTGTACTCGTACGCTACTCGTACAGTAGGGGCCCTGTACGAGTTTTTTTTTTTTTTTAATCCGGTATAGTTTTTATTTTTTTTCTCAAATTCTAATAAGAATCTGAAGATGATGCTCAACCAAATGTCGCTTGTTGTGTGTTGTTGCATAACATAGTTTTTTTTCGGATTTTTTTGAAGTCTTTGTTTTTGATTTTTTTTTGGCTTTTTCGTATAGGGTTGTACAAGACGTACAGGTTCCCGTACAGATACCGTATAGAAATTACCTGTACGTTTCGTACGGAAAGCCCCTGTACGTTTCATACGGAAAGCCCCCGTATGTGTACTCTATGCAACGTAGCCCAGTAGAACATCAATAGAAATCCCCTGTTCCCTGAACATTTCTTAGCTTCCCCTGTAGACCTACCCAGTTACATCATACCTTCACCTCTGCAGAGCATCTGACAGAATACCCTGTTGACTTGCATTACTCCCCTTCTCCTTTTCCGACCAGTGATCGGCCCCGTCCCGTCCTTCACAGTTCCTTTTTGTTTCCTTAAGTTTTTGGCAGCCGGGACGTTGCCTTTCAGAGGGAGGGGATAGTGTTACGGATTCCGCCAGGGCTCGACCCCTGGTCTATTTTGTTGTTGTTTTTGCTACATCCCGTTTTTGGCCTGGCACCCTTTTTCCAAACCCCTCCTTTGGTACCGTCGGATTTTTGACAACTGGCACCATGCTACAATTCGGGCGCCACTTTCAAACACCGCATTTTTCAGTTCTGCCCTCGAGGCTTTTGCAGAGATGCCCCTGGTACCGTACGTGTCACCGACACTTATACCGGTTCCCCGTACAGAACGGGCAACCAGTCTCGTACCAGTTTCAGTTGTTGTACTCGTACTCAGTGTGACTTGCTCCTGTTTTCGGCATTGGGAATCCAAGACTTCGACTTTGTGTCCTTGCCACTGTGTCTGCGTCCGACCCTTAGTCATGTCGAGTGAGTGAGTGTATGTGTGTGCGGTCACTCTCTCCCTCTCTCTCCCCTCTCCCTCGGCTCTCCCTGTCTCCCTCAGCCTCAGGTGGCCTCCTAGGCCACATACTAGGACCACTTGTGTCAGCACCAAGGCGCTATTTTCCTTGGTGTCGTTGGTCCCCCTTATTCATGTGGTACTTGCATCTGGGTATTATTTTTCTGAAGGTCCTTCGAGAAGGAGGGCCGCCTTTATCAATTTCCTGCATCTCTTTGCAACTTCATCATCTATTCCCGGATTTAAGGCTCTGGTAGTCCCGAGTCCCATCTTGGGTCCACGGCGTCGACGATCCCGTCTTAGTCCTTCAGCTAACATTTTCCCTCTCTATTGCCTCCTCATTCCAGATTCCCCTGTTGTGCGCATGTTAACCATAAATCACGTCTCAAGGGTCGGGACTTGATTCGAGAACCAAAGGTCCCAACACCGGGCACCCGACTCATGTCCGGGTACCCATCCGGGTGCCCAGCCTGGCATAACCCCCGACCAGGGTTCCGAGCAGCCCCAACGCAGGAAAAAAAAAATCAAAAAATTCCAGAAAAAAAAAATGTTGTGTAGAATTGCAATACAAACGACTTTTTTTTTTTTTTTAGCCTCGCTTTATTACCAATTCAATCATCCGAAATGAGGCCGGGGACCTCACAATTCAACCCGGAGTTATCCCGGCAGCATCAGCTGGTTCAGCTTAAGTAACTTCAATCTCAACAATTTTCCATACTTCTATATTCAATGCTACAGAAAAATTCTTGCTTTCCAATTTTGCTGCCACTGCACTACGTAGTATCCCTACCCGTGACCACAGCTATATTTCCTTCCTATAGTAACACCCAAATTCTGCCATGAGACAAGACTATCCTACTTACTAAGAGACTAGTAGGCGGGCCTGCCGTCGGCCCGCAAACAGCCTATTAGCGGCTGCTTGGAACTCGTGTTCCTTCCGAACCGTGCCACTCTTCCACCTCCACCCACTTGCTGCCTTCGGCGGCATAAGACCTGTATTGTGTGGGGAACCAAGTGCCCTGGTTCCCCTCGCTGTTCTGAAGACCTGTCTCCTTTAACTTGTTAACCAATCAACTCTGCCCTCTTCACCAATCAACTCTACTCCGCTCCAAAGAAGATCTCAGACTATCTCACTGTACGCTCCACCGGTTCCTTCACCCAGGGGGAGAGAACAAGCCCCTTCGTCCTGTGCACCCCTGCCAACTGATGTCGAAGCGTCCAGTTATCCAGAAACCATTGTAGTTGTCTGTTACTCCCTTTGCCGACTTTTGCTCTCTTCCTCCAGTCCACCTTGATAGCTTCTCTCAACCCTTGCCTTATTGCTCTTTTGATCTCCAAGTCGGAGAGGGGTCTGCCTTCGAACCTCTCCCTATTCCCGTCTTTCCATATGATCTCACATAGCACGCCCCTCACTACTTGGGCCACATACCCCCACCCCCGTTTCCTATGCAAACCTGCTGGTAAAAAGCCAAACAACACCCGCTTCTCCTCCTAGATTACCCTTGGGTCCCCGAACTGTTCCCGGTGCTGGTTCCACCATTTCCAAATTCTTCGTGAGGCAGGGCAGTCCCACCAGAGATGACGTGTTGATTCAAATGGCCAGGAACAGTGCGAACACTTCAAATCACTCCTCTCCTTGTTAACCATACCTGCACTCCTCTCCTTGTTAACCACACTGCTGAGGGTGTCACTAGGAGAGAGATCATCCATAAAATAGACACTTGTTTCCCATTCGTGAGCTTGGACAGTGTATCCCAAAGGTCCCGGAAGGAAGAGCCCGCATCCGACAAGTCGTCTGATGTTACGGCTTGTGCCACCTACTAACGACCATTTCGTCAAACTGGACATTTTTTATTTTTTGAACGAAATTGAAACCGAGTTTTTTGGCCGAAAACTCGTTAAAATTTGTTGTTCCTGAGGGTCCAACGTTTTACAAACGCAGGACCCCCTAGTTGTACATAGACCTAGCTTGAGACCAGACACCTCCACGCAGTCTTGCCTGGAGGTACCTGGTCTCAAGCTAGGTCCATGTACAGCCAGGGGGTCCAACGTCTTACAAACGTCGGACCCTCAGGAACAACAAATTTTCACGAGCTTTCGACCAAAAAACTCGGTTTCAATTTCGTTCAAAAAATAAAAGATGTCCATTTTGACGAAATGGCAGTTTACTGATGGCCACCTCCGCCGGAGAGGTTCTATTACCCCTGCTCAATCTCAGCCTGTATCCCTTTGCCACTGAGTACTCCGACAGTCGAAGTTGGGGACTTCTCACTTCCCCTGTTGACCAACTCCATGCTTCAGGGTCAATACTCAATTTCCTCAGCGGGGTATGCCCTACCCATATCCATTTTTTCCTTCTCTCTGGAGTTCCACCCAGTCCCACCACTCGTGCCTGTGGAGGGTTCTCCCAAGCCATGATGACCTTTTTGTTTAGGGGGAGCAACGTCAACTCTAAACTCTCTGAAACCCACTTGGGAGAATCTCCAACAGCTTCCATACCTCTTCTATCCCGTCCTTCTCTGTGTAGTACCAGGTTCAGATGGGATCAACCCCCTCCAGACTTAGAAGGCGGTTCCATTCCTCTGGGATGGGCGCTAACAACTGTCTCCAGTGTAGCTTCACATTCCGCAGTGGGTTGAGTGTTTCTGTCAGCTCGGACAGTGCTTTCCAAGTCCCCAAGACTGGGTTTCACAGATCCCCAATGGTAACTACTCCTTTTCGAACCCACGCTGAACCAAAGGAGCCTGTGGAACCGTCTGCCTTGAACCAACAGTCGTCGCTGTTTATGATCCGAGGGTTCTCAAACAGCAATTGAGCTTGCACTTTCTCCTTCGTCACCGGTTGAGTGTGCCCCTCTGGTGGTAAACTACTCCAAGCTTTTATCACTTCACGCCAAAAACGTGACTTTAGCTTCTTTCGCCAGAAGGACGGAATGAACATGCAATGCCAGATATCCCGAGGGCTGCTCAGATTCCACTCCTTCATGAGAATTTGCTCCGCTATCTCCATCCATTGTACCTTTATTGGGGCATTAGCCACTTTGAAGAGCCACATACTGAGTTGAGTTTGGTTTCTCTTTGCAAGGTCAACCGAGTTCAACCCACCCTCCGCTCGTGGGTAAGTGAGCAAATCCCAGGCAAACTTGACAAGGAATCCCTCCCTGTCTTTAGCTCTTGGTTTCCAGATAAAGAGCGCCACCAATCTTTTAATAGCCCTCCAAACACTGTCTGACACTGCCCTGATGGAGAACAGGGCAACATTCGCCACCAGTGCTCTCCCAATGTAGCATATCAGGAAGTGAAATGCACCGAGAGCCCAAGATCTAGCAATTATGAAAATGGCTATAGCTGGCAGCATAGATGCAACATTCACAAGATGTCAATGTGCACAATGCAAGGAGTAAACCAACGAGAAATCAACAACAACACATTCGTATCATTATCATCATGGGCTTGGAAGCAGCGCAGCGGAAGATTTAGTATCAAAAGGACACGTGGACAACAAACATGAAAGGGAGAAACTTCGGAAGGGCAAGACATCAGAAAGATTGCCCTTCCGCTCACACACATGGGGAGAGATCCATAGACATGCGGGAGAGAAAGGGGAGAGACATAGGAGATAACCAAGTCCAACCCAAGTCTGATCTCCGAATGTCGTACACAGTTCAATCCCAGTGTAGAGTGTAAGTCCGATCTGAATGTCACGTCCAATAAGGCAAAATGCCGTGTCCAAACAATGTCTGCAGTTACCTCTATCCCTACTCTGATAAAGAAGAAGAAGAAGAAGAAGAAGAAGAAGAAGAACTTCGGAGTAGGAGGAGAAGAGGAGAGGAGGAGGAGAAGAAGAAGAAGAAGAAGAAGAAGGAGAGGAGAAGAAGAAGAAAGCTAGCCGCTTTCTACACTTACCGGGGGGACTGCACGAGAGCCCATCTATGGCGTTGGTAGGTCGCAACAGGTAAGCTCCTCTTCCATCTCTCTCTCTCTCTCTCTCTCTCTCTCTCTCTGAACTCCACTACTCTCCTCGGCGCTGGACTCCTCCAGCGCTGCGCCTCATTGCAGATGAACAGCGCAGCTGCAGTCTCAAAATAGCGCAGCACGTAGTTTCCACATAGCGCAGCAGGCGAAGTCCTGAACCAGCGTAACACTGGATTTCTCCTGGTACCTTCCTTTCGAACTGGGCAATGGCCCAGCTTAAGTAGCGCTGGGCCAGGACTRAAASCCCACGGCCTTCGACCTGGACCGTTCAGATCCACGGTTCAGATCGCAGGCCCAACGTGTGGTTCAGCCCTTGGCCTAAAACGGCCTGCCTGGGTCCCTACCGGACATCCAGGCCCTGTCCAGGATTC